AAGAAATGACAAGCCCTGCCCAAGAGAACACAGATGGAAGAACTGAGGAAATCAGAAAAGAAAGAGAAGCATCTGAAGAATTTAAGCATAACTTAGAATACATGAAACAGATCCAAAGAGAAAATCAGGAAATTAAAAACTCCATTGAATATTGGCAAAATGCCTTGACAGAAACTAAAGACAACCTTCTGAAACTTGAAGAGAGATTTAGGGCTTATGAACGTGAAAGAAAAAGCCTCTTAAAAATAACAAGGAACCAGAAAGAAGCAATTCTAAAACTGGAAGATGATAAAAAGATGCATAACCTAAGAATAAAGAATGTGAGTGAGGAAGCAGGAACATCCAAAAATGAAATACAAAAAATATTCACAGAGATATTAAAGCAAAATTTCCCATGTATAGCAAAAAGAAATGATATCCAGATAAAAGAAGCATACAGAACGCCAGCTACCTACAACCAAAACAGATCTACGCCTAGGCATATAATAATCGAGATCCCAGAAATCCACCAAAAAAACAGAATATTAAAAGCAGCCAGAGAAAAGATGCAGGTTACCTATAACGGGAAATCTATCAAAATAACAGCAGACTTATCAACACAAACTCTTAAGTCAAGAAGGGAGTGGGGAGAAATATTCCAAGTCCTGAAGGAAAAAAATATGCAACCTAAGTTCATATATCCATCAAAACTCTCTCTAAAAATTAATGAAGAAATAAGATACTTTCAAGACAAGGAGGAACTGTGGGAGTTCATGGCCACCAATCCAACCCTACAGAGAGCGCTGAAGGACATTACAGAGAAAGAGAAGAAGAGATATCAGGATTACAGCTACAGTGGCAGAGAGGCCTCAGTGTACGGGGCAGACCATGGAATGAGGGAATAAGGTGGACAAATTATAGCAGAAAAGTGGAGTAGCAGACGTGAGGCAGAGACGGTAAGCTAATCTTTGGTAGAGACAGCTCTGAAACTATATTTAAAAAAAAAAAAGCAGAGGTCACTGCTAATGGTGTATAACGATTTAAAAGACACAGTAGTCCTAGTGCCATATTTAGATTGAATTAAATTTGTTCTGGTCTGTCCACTCATATCAGATTTGAGGACACAGACCTCTAGAACCAAAAATAGCAGGTTATACCATGGTAACCATCCTTACTTTCCTATTGACTTAAGCTGAAATCCTGTATTACTTACATTGTCTTACTATGACTGATCTTAATTGTATCTGAATCATAAGACTATTGGTTGGCCTTGACTGATCCTATTTGAAATCCGTATGCGTGTTAGAATCAACCCTAAAAGTAGAGGAAACTACTCTGAGCATGACAGGATGTAAAGGATATCCATACTGGTATGAATCAGTAACAGCTCTCAAATACTACAATGCAGTCAAAGATAAGTTTTTATAAAAATAGGTGATAGTATATTTAACTATAATAAGCCAGTGTTGCTGACAAATCTATTGAAAATAACAAGAGAAAACATAGTAGCTACGGAAGATCATTTATATTATAGTTTTGTAAGTCTTATCCATTGCATGTTTATCTAGGAAATTGTTTCGCTGTCTTGTTATGACTTGGTTTTCCCTATAATACAGAGAGGATAGGAACAAATACTCTGAGGAAGAGACCTGAAAAACCCGAGGCTTATTTTGTAGCATTATAATATAAATTCTAGCAACCTATTGCTTGCTGATTAAAATGACTCTGGACTGGTTTCTTCAGCTCAACTTCAGCATATGCAGAGATGGGGACGGCTATCACAAAGAGAATGAGAGATGCGAAAGTAGTTGGAAATGTCTTCCCTAATTTGGAACTTGAGGACCTAAAGAGACTCCATCATCCTGTAATGATTTGATTAGTTCTATAATATGCAATAAGTATAGAAAGTGGGTGAAGTTAGGGACAACTATTTGTAAGAGGCTAGAGACAGTTGGATAAGGTAGATCTCCGGTGGACTTGCTTTGAAATCTGTGTTTCTTTAAATTGTTTTTTATTTTTTTTTAATGTTCTGTTCTGTTTTGATATGATTAACCTTATCCTCTTAGAGATGTAAAACAAATAGGTGGGACTGATAATCATATTACGGAGCTTTTGTTCGGCCATAGAGCAGAATGGTTTGTAGGGTCACTTTTTTGAATGTCATTCTAAATACTTTAATTCTATAACCTAAACAGCCATTTCGAAGAAGACAATTTGTAACTTATCAACTGGCAATTTCTTACCTTTTGTTTGTCTGTAATTTAGTATTATTTTTCTACCCTTTTTTTCTTTAATCTCCATGTATTTTTTTTTTCGTTTCCTTTTCTTTAAATAAAAAAAAAAAAAAAAAGAAATACATCTATGCTTTTGCAAACAGTTGCTCCTTGCACATTTCCAAGAGCGCATAAAAGAATGGCTACCTCTGATGCCCGGAGTAGTAGATATCTACAAAGCAATGAAATTATGTGTTTTCCTTATGCAATAAATAAAAATAAATTTTAAATGAAGTTTTAAAGGTCCGAAAACGTAAAATTTTTAGAAATTTGAGGAAAAAGTTTGTGAATACTATGGAAAGCTGTAGTTATAGGTCACTGTATGATAGGGACCTGTTTAGCTGTATGTCTCCTAGAAAGCATATAATCCGTAGTTTAGACACTCATTGTTAGACTAAAAATTTTAAAGCACCAAAAATAAAACTAAGCAGTTTATTTAGAGTAAACAAAATATGAAGTGGGCAAAAATCATACATGTGATTAGAGTTTAACATCCAAAACTAGAAAATACTTCAGCTCAATAACCAACCAAACAAAAATAATGTGAATAAAATGATTAAATGAAGTTATAATATTCTCAATTGACAACATAAAAAAAATCTATCAGTTTTGTGAAAAATGCTCAATGTCATTAATCATCAGAAAAGTACAAATTGAAGACACAAGGAGATACTGATTCACAAATGTCAGCATGACTGTTATCAAGAATACCAAGGATAAGAAGTGTTCAAAAGAGGTGAAGAAGAGTAACATCTTGCACACTGTTATAAGGAATGTAAACTGATATCGAACACATGGTGGAAGTTTCTCAAAAAAATAAAACTAGACCTGCTATATGATCCAATAATTTTATTATTTGGTATGTGACTAGAAATTTAAACTGTTATGTGAAAGTGTGATCTGTATTCTCCTATGGATTACAGAATTCTTCAAAATACTCAAGACATGAAATGCACTTAGATGTTCACTGATAGAAAAATGGATAATGAAAATATTATTCATAAGTGCTGTGTATGTGGGTGTGCTTGTGTGTGACTGAACGCTTTTCAGTCTTACACAAGAAAGTATTCTGTCATTTATAATATATAAAAGAACTTTCACTTGTTAAGTGAAATTAGGCAAAGAAAAATGCTACATGATCTCATAAGGGTAGAATGATATTTAACAAAGGCTGATGCACAGGAAGTGGGGGTTCGTGGTTAATCGAAAAAGGGCTGTTAATGAAAAATCACAAACTTCATTTAGGTAGAATGTTAAGTTCTGTATATTCATTTTAAAAAATGGTGACTATTGATGATTTAACACATACTTAGAAATTGCTGAGAATGGATTTTTAAATACAATAATACCTCAGTATATGAATTCTTCTGTTTGCAAACAATTTGGTTTGCAAACAAAACATTTAGCAAACTTTGTTTCCACACACAAGTTTTACTTCCGTGGTTATACCCATGCAACCACAGTTATTTTCCCCAAAATTGTGAAACAAATAGATTATAAACCAAGGCACTACTGTATCTCACCACAAGAAATTTGTATTTTTGCCATATTAAATTCCTTTTCTTTTAATCTCGAAATGGGTCTACATCAAAAGCCACTATATTTTGGAAGTATAATTTTTTAACTTTCAATTTTCTGACCATAAGTTCCCCTCTTCCAATTATAATTAATTTACTTTCCTATCTTGAAATAACTTAGATTTATTTGAAACTATTCATGTATTTTATGGAGTAATTATTAACTATGTACCGTATATCCTCTTTTGATGGTTTATGTATTTATATGGCTTATTCTACATACTATTAATAAATTGCATCAAATTAAATATATTAATGGTATTAAAGCATTGTTTTAGCCTAGGAAAACTGCTCACATTTTTAACACTTCTGTTGTTTTTAATGGCTATCTGATTTCATTTTGGACTAGTAGAATGGAATACTTGAGACGTGGTAGATTAAACTTAACAGACATGTTTCAGCATATGGGTTCACAGGCTGTGAAGGCTACGGTCAAGGTGTAGGCACTTGTCAGCAGCCTTCTGTGGCATCTCCCACAAAGTAGGAACAAAGTGGTTGAAAAGATATAAGAATGGCCCTCACACTTTTGTAATGACAGAAATCCCAACCATGAGCATAAATCTCTAGACACAAACACCTAAAGCTTACCATTTAATTTCAGCAAGTCTTAGCAAAAGCTATAAACCATACCACGTAGTTTGTTTCATGTACCACTTAACATTTTACATATTAAATAAGCTAATATTTTCAAAACTCTAATTCAATGAAATTCACTCAAATTGCATAATTTTGTTGTTTTTGACTAAATATTCATCAATTTTAGCATGATTACATTTATTTTAATGTACTTTCCCTGTGTTAGCATTTAGTCTCAATTAATGCATTGTAAGTTTAATTTTATTATGTAAGGTGTTCTAAGCCTTACATCTCATTTATAAATTTCATATGCTATTTTGCTTTACCTTTAAAAAACATTTAATATGTATTCCAGAACACTGCTGAAGTAAATCACCTTGAGAACTTTAAATTTTAATTTTAAATATCTAAAAATTTTTAATTTTTTGCTTTTTTAATTTTTATAATTTTGAAGATTTTGTATCTCATAAATTTATGAGATAAAATGATCTTTGATGCTGGCATCTCAACAATTCTTACTGTGATGTTTTATTTCCTTGTTTCTCCACAGAAATATAATGAAAAAATAATAGGCCTCAAGCAATGCACAATTTACCTTACAAATCTGGAAATATTCTGAAGTCAAGGTTTCCTGAATCTCCTCTCTCAGAACTCCAGCTGTCCCTCCTGGATGCAAGGGACCACTACCAGTCCCACCGCTGTTACTGCCACTGCTGCTGCCACTGCCCAGTGAGGAGGCAGTCAAGCCATCCAAAACTTTTCGGAAATTAAACTTCTTCATTTTAAGAACTGTTGAGAAAGTCAAAGGAAAAGAGAAAGGGTTGACTAACTACATAGAATTATACCGGGTAAAATCATTTATTCTTCCATATTCGGGCAGTAATAGCCAGCCCCATTTTATGAGCATTGGCTGAAAAGTGGAAAAGAAGAAAGGCCTCGTTTTGTCAAATTTTAATTCTAAAATACATATCTTCATAAAATAAAGACCATTCCTAGAGCAACTGTATTCCTTCTTCATACATCAGATTTTCAAGGGCTTTATCCCCAGCTGTAACTACGCTTTGACAGCACTGGGGTCAAAATAAAAGGCAGTGTCGTCATTAGTATTATATCATTATTATTATACAATCAAACCAGAATCAAAAGAACAAGACCCTCCGCGTCTCTCTTCAAGGCGGGATTTCCTTCTAAAGGTTCAGCTAGAATAATTTTTATTTCCAGAAAAACGTTGTGGGGGGGGGTTGCTGCAATTTACTCTGCCACCATCTTCCAGGCGACCCCCCCCCAACCCTCTGTCATCTTCAACCCTGCCTTTTTTCTCGGCAAGAAATTTGGGAGGCAAAGACGCCTTTTATTCCACTCCCCATTCCCAACAGTGGGAGCCCAAAACTTCTGCGGCTGACAGCACCACAGCCGACGGGAGGGACGCGCGGCGACGCCGGCCGCCTCCGCGCTGCCCTGCACCCTCATCCCGGCCCCTCCCGCCCGCGCCTCTAGACCCCCACCCCACCTCCTCCCACCCCAGCCAACCAGCCGCTCGCAGCCCCCGCGGCGTCCGCCCGCCCGCCCCGGCGCTCTCCGCAGCACGACAGCGGCCCTCAGGGGACGCGAGGCGGTGGCGGCTGCGGCGCAAGTCCCGCCTGAGCCGGCCGGGCGCGCGGAGTCAGGCTCCCGCCGTCGCTCCCCGGGGCCGAGCACCCAACGCGCGAGCACACAAGCACCCTCAGCAGACCGCCGCGCTCCGGGCCGAGCGCACACACACGCGCGCCCACGGGCCCCTACAGACCCTGCGCGGGCGCCCACACGCATGCCAGCAGGTGTGAAGGAAGCGCGGCTGGACGGCGAGCGCTGCGTCCCGGACGAACGTCTAAGGACCCGGATTTAGGCGCCCGCCTCACCGCCGCTAGCCGCCTACCAATCCGGGAAGAGAAGGTCGCGGAGGGCGGCGGGCTTACAGGCGTGGGTGCGCCCGCCTAGGGCAGCTCCGCCGGTGTCTCTGGTCTTGGCGCCGGGCGCTCTCCAGTATTAGAAGAGTGTCCATCATTTTGTTTATAAATTCTGTATTTATAAGAATTCAAGCCTCTGGCAATGCCTTTGGAATATCTTTTAAGAAATTATCAATGGTTTATTTTGACCAAATTTCCTAAAGTGAGTTCGTTGGAATTGTAATTCCTCCATGATAGATTGTGAATGTCAACTTTCAGTCTCCCAAAATTGCCTCTTAATTGCCTTCTACCTCTTGCAATACATTAGAAATTACATTCCACTTTCTGTTAATATGTATTAAGTGTATGGGACAGTAATAAAATATGCTTCAATATGCATTTTATAAATATAATTTTAATCCACAAATTCTAAAACCTATTTTCTGGGTATGCAAAATGAAAGAATTATCTTTAAAAGATATTTGATTATTCCTATTTTAAGTACTCATTTGGCTGCTTTTCACTTAACCTTTATTTTCATGTTTCTAAAATTTTATATAGGTTATTTGGAACCTGAAACATTTTGCATTGAAAGAGTGATGACTAAGGATATCATAGAATGGCAGTACTAAAGTGTCATTAAAAATATTTCTATGAGAAAATATAGGAGATAGCACAGAAATAGTTATTTCTGGTGGAGTACATATAGTATTTCTAAAAATGTAACCTTTTTTCTACATATGATTAAATTTTATCGTGACATTTTGGAATTCTTAGAGTTAGGTTTGCTTTTAATCAAACATTGCTATTTGAAGAAAAAAGATTAAATAGAAAGATAATTATTATGGGAAATATATTTTGACAATTCCATAAGAAAATCATCTGATATAAACCTCAGAAAAGTCTCTGTGAAGGGAATTATATCTATGCTGAGAGCTGAAGGATGAGTTTTCAGATACACAAGTGAAGAATCAGGACAAAGATGACAATTTTCCAGGAAAAAACCCCAAAATGTTCAAAAGATATGGTGAGAATTTTATGTTCCATGACTAGAAATGTTTTGAGTTTTGGTTGGTTTGAATGGCTGGAAGAGAAGATGGCAAGAGATATATCTGGGGCTGTAATCAGGGCATATATATAAATAGTCTTATAAGCCACTCTGAGTAGTTTGAACTTTAAAGTCAATAGGAAGCTAGACTTTAAATGGCTTTAGACAGATGTAATTTGATTAAATTTAAATTTTAAAAATATCCTATTCAGGAATGGAGAAATGATTGGAGAGAGAGTAAAAAATTATACTCTGGGTAAAAATTATAATACTTTGTGGGGAAGAGTTAAGCTGTTTTATTTTAAAAATAGAGGAAGAAGTGGAACAAATATAAAGAGAAAATTCAAGGATGGTATCGAGGTATTTGTCTTGAAGAACTGTGTATAATAGTGCCTGTTACTGAAAGAGAGCCAAAGATTTAAGTTTTGAAGTAAAGCAGTGTTCAATTTTAGGTGTGTTGAACTGTAAAGGTTCATTACATTCAGATGGTAATTAAAAATGACAAGAGGGATATAGCTCAGCAGCACAGCGCCTACCTGGCAAGCACAGTGTTCTGAGTTCAGTGCCTGGTACCCTCACGCCAAAAAGATTAGATTCCCAGTTTTCAGTGAAAGAATTCGTGATGAAATTATCCTACTGTAGTATTCTTGCAGGGATCTGTGAAACAATTTTGGTTCTGTAGGTGGGCAATGTGCCATCTAGTTTGTCACAGTTCTTATCCTTTTTAACTCAGTGATTACCATGGATTTTTAAATTCATGACCGTATATTATATAGAAATAGATGGCAGTTTAGGACAGGATACCACGCAGTATTAACATTTAGGATAGGACAATATGAAAAGACCAACAAATCAATTTAAGATTCAGATATTCTTTATTATTTTGGGCAGAATCTTTCATGATTTTCATACATGCTTAAGCCATGATGAATGGGAGAAAGAGAAATGAATTGTGATGTCCAGAAGAATTACTGATCATTGTTTAGGTGCTGTTATATGAATTTATTGTCATTGACTTTTCTATCTAATTTTTTGAAATTTCATGATCCATAATTTTATATTTTAAAAAATTCATTATAAATAACAGAAATTTATTCTGATAAACAAATATAATCCTACATTATTCTGCTGAATTAGTTGGTTTTATAACCAACTAGAAGAATCTTGCATATAGTTTCATTCCCTAAAAAAATATTTTAGTGATTCCCTTATGGTAAATGAAAAAAGATTTCAGTGGACCAACAAGCTTGGAAAATATTGAAGATTTGGGATAACTATTTGCGTAGTACTGGTTCTAAAAAGTTTTGTAGGAAAAAATATTTAACTTTATTTAATTTAGAGTTTCCCAAACTTTAAGGAAATGAGTCATTCTTTCCTAATCAGGCCACATGACATTGAAACCACTAAATGAGATCCAGCAAACATTCTGCTCCAGTACTGTGCTCACAATGGGTAAATAATGCCCAGATAGGAAGACCTAAGAGACCGCCTGCTGTGGCCCATCTGATTGGACAGTTCATATAGCCCACCTCTTCATCAGTGATTCAGTCTTTCTCTACTGCTCTCCTCCTGAATCAAGAATAAACAGGGAAAGGAACCCCTCCCTGCAAGACTGGATCCCAAATGATAGACTGTAGTGCTGACTTCTGGAGCTGACTGTCTTCTACAGTGCTGATATCCACAGAGGAGTGCTTGTAACAAAGAGATTTACCTCAGGCTTTTTATTTCCAATTCCATTTGATTTCAATGGTAAAAATAAACTAAAACTAAATTTCAAAACATGTCAATCAGGGGACAACAATGGTAAATACTTTGCACACTGTCATCCCCCGATCATTCATACCAGAGCACAAGACATTTGTATTCAATTTTCCAAACAATACTGTAATGGGCAGCTGAGTTAGTCAAATAATGTTGGCAGTGAGACAGGGCTAGGTTCTCCAAGGATCCCATGCAGAAGCCCATATACCTTCAACTATAGGGAAGGCAGACACTTCCTGCTAAGCGTCAGACTTCAGGACAAAAGATTAAGCAAATGTATTCATATGGTAAGGATTGATATTTGAAATGGTTCTCTAGCACTCTGAGGAAGTCAGCAGTTACCATTCAAGTAAAGCCTGCTATTCCAAATAATTCCTATCATCCTGGTGAAATCATGAGTCACCTTCTGAACCCCTTAATTGAAGAGTTACTACTGCATAAAAATGCCTAGTTTCTGTGTGACAGGCTTCCCCATTTGATCTCAATTTAATCACTTTTACCTGAACTATTAATTTTATTGGCTGCCATATTTCTGTCCCATCTTATGCATATCTGCCTTGTGAGCTCCCAGTATTCCCACCTTAAATCCACCTCACAAAATGATTTTACTCTATAGAAGTCCCTAGAAAAGACAGTCTTTGGCAACCCACTCAGGACCCCTTCTCTCTCTCAGACAGCTTTCTTTCCCAATAAATATATTCTACTCTTAAATTCTGTTGTTCCTAAAATTTATGCTTTAATTTTAGAGAGCACAAACTCACACCGGACATAGTAGATCAGGAGTTTCTTTCCCCTGTACCAATACCATTATAAATTTTTCTCTTTAGTGAACTCAGATAAATGAATAGCAGTTTGTGTTCTATAAAGCTGATCTAATATCTTCAGGGATACTCTCATTGAAGGCCTTTATGCCTGCATTTAAGTGCTGCTTCTGTTTTCTGAAAGTGAACTGATCTGTAATTTTGGTTATGGTATCTACAATTTATTAAGGATATGACTCAAAATATTTCTTGTGAATGGTTACCTCCAGAATTGGAGGAAGACACATAGCAAACCTTCTTTATTTTCATTTCATCATTCAAACTGAGGGATGTACTTGAAAGACTTTTGCCCTTGAATGAGTTACAGGACCTCCTGGTGGTAGTTGAACATGGTGGAAGGCCCAATCAGGGATGCTAACCATATGGCCACTTCCTCTTTTTCCCTGATTACAACCTTCTCATTCCTTTCCCAGGGGCCTGAGGAAAATTCCAGTCAGCTCCTCACATGACAGAAACGTCTGTTCCAATCTCCACATCTAGTCAAAAGTCAGATATACCCCTAACCACATAGTAAAAAAACAACCTTGGTTTTTTTGGGCTCCTCCTCACATTCCTTACATAGAAAGGCCACTTTTACTTTTTCTTATATTCTGCTTCTCTATTGCCCCCCCAAAATGCTAACAGTACTGATTCTTGTCTATGTATGTGGCTAATTTACCTCCTCAGTAATTCATATGATCAATGCCGTGGATATATAATTGAAATTAATGTAGTGGACTGTTGCTTCACTCCATCAGTGTCAATGCAGTGAGTTTAAGCCTACGATAAAAATAAACCTTCATATAAACTTCAATGCAGAAAAAGCATCAAAATATAAACAGGGTCCTACAGATGTACAAACTTCTTTCAATAACATAATAGAAGCCTTCTACAAAAAGGCAAAAATACACATTTCATGTATCTTAAAATTGTTGAAGGAGCCAGTAATGTAGAAATTGTTCTGAACAATTTTAGTTGAACATTCACTTTTATACGAGATAACCTACTGCCATGGCAATATCTAGTTCTTGCTAAATTATATACTCAAAACAATTATTTTACATTTATAATGACTGATTTATACAACTTTATACATTGCCAGGAATACAACCACTGTGAGCTGTATTGATCACTTAAAACTGCATGAAAAGTGAAAAGCATTCAGACAAATCATAAAGATATTTATGTTAATTTGGCTCATGTTAATGATAGAGGGGAATGAAACTCCTGATCTACTATATATCTGGAATGAGTTTTTGTTCTCTAAAATAGAAGAATAATGTTTAGAATGATGGAGTTTAAGAATGGAATATATTTATTGAGAGAAAAAAAGCTTCTGTCAAGGAGACAGAAGGGGTCCTGAGTGGGTTGCCAAAGACTCTGTATTTAGAGAGTA